TTTATAAATAGCTCAGGCAAACATAATATGCGAACCTAAAAAATATACTATTGAGCTAGCAAGGATAATATTGATCATTTTACTGCCCAATTGTTTAACGGCCGTAAGTGATTTGTCTGTTGTAACATTCGAATACTTAAGGCACATTTAAAATACATACAAGGAATTAGCGCCCTTACGCCATCAAGCAAAATTAGTGGACAAGCTACTAGTAGATTTTCTATATTGTTTCGGTTTAGAACCAGGTAATAATATTCTACTAATATTATAAATGGGAAGGTTTGTGAGAATGTATGGTTGTTTGTTGTTATTTTACTCAAGAGCGACTGGGCCGATTTGGTTTAAATTTGGTATGTATATAGGTGAGAACCTGGATTAACGCATAGGCTGTTTTTTATCAACGTACCACGTAGGCTAAACAGAGGATTATAAATATCATATAGAAAGATCGAGAAAAACCACGCATGCCAAATCAGGTATTATTTTTATCTAGAACTAAATAGTTATGAATCGGCTCGCGTATTATGTCACAGTCACCATGAACTTCGTATCAAGGTTACGATAATATTTTTACACAAAAATGGCGCCCGTTTTGCATGATTGCTTTTTTAACAAAATTATAATTTAGACATTAAAATAATTAATTGCACTATTATACTTGTTCCGACGTGATTTGAATATTTTATGCGAGAATGACATAAGATAAAACCTTTTTGGCTTTGAATTTATTTTAGGAACAAGTTTTGATCGCTAGTTGGCCTTTTTCTATTATACACATATTTGACGTACGGGTTGCGCTTGCAATTAATTGCTTTAGTGTTTTTAGCAGATATCAATTTATGTGTAAGAACTTCTTCGTTGAAAGTTCATAATTTAAACAAAGGTAGCTTGCACAAATAGGAGCTCTTTTACGGTATTAAATCCTACCCAGAAATTTTAAATTGAATTTACAATCAAAGCGATTTCCATTTACTGTTGTAACAAAGAATTCCAATAAGTTAACAATTATTGAATAATAAATAATTCACGCCCAAAAAATTTCACCCTGGTCAACAAAAAATTTGCCAATCGTACTTTCGTCTTTTAAAGCATACTGAGACTTAAGCGCATATTTCACGAAATACGCCAATTATTGCCTTGAGAACCAAGAAGTTAGTTGTATAGTATAGTAAAATATTAACTCGACCTGGTTATCGAACCATGGGTATCAAGGCCTGTGCATTCGAGCGTTGCCTAGTTCAATGAATTGTTAACTGGGCCGTAGGTAAATAGGTATTTATTTAAACTTATAAATCGATATTGTGCTTTTTTATCATATACTTGATGATAAGCAATCGGCGCCGCCCATGGACACCCGCAACAACGGAGGAGTTACGAGTGCGTTGCCGATCTTTTGGGATTGGGCGAGGGTAAGGATTAGGTCTCCCGTAACTTCACTCACACGGCGAAACACAACACTGTGGTTGTTTCACGCGGGTTTTTTGTGAGGCCGTGGTACCACTCCGGTCGAGCCGACCCATTCGTGCCGAAGCTTGGCTCTCCCACGATTGGCAGGCAAACGATCAGAAGGATTCCCTGGTAGTTAGTCATCAGCCAAAGGAGTTAAAAGTATGTTGCCGTCCTTTTTCTAAAACTCGGTGCTCGTTCCAAAGTCTAGATTCGAATGGAGAAGAACGAGCTAGAAACTCCTTCGTTATTCTTTTTATCTATCCGTTTCTATGTATCCTTTAGCTCGATTGACTGCTGAGCATGAGGCCTCATGCTCAGCAGTCAATGAACCGCTGGCACAGAAGACACTACAAATAATGTTGATAAATAAACTTAGTAGGAAATAAAGGCTGCAACATCACAGTGTTTATAAACACGATAGTAAGCTGAATCGATTACTACAAAAATAATAAACATAATTTCTGTGAATGGCATGATGCATGTTGCATTTCCATCGTTTATGAAAATCACGCGTCTTTTTATTTATGTTTTTTAGCGGTAATCGAGCAGACAGATTACCTGATGGTAAGCAATCGGTGCCGCCCATGGATAATCGCAAGTCTAGAGGTGTTGAAGTGCTTTCTCGCTCTTTAGGGCGATAGGCATTTAGTGACTGAGGGCTGTAGGGTTGATACTGAACTCCTCCGAAACCCTTAAAAGTAGGGTGATACAGAATCGCACGTGTTGTTTTACACTGCAAGACGATCTCACGTCGAGTTCTTCACATGGCTCAAAGAGCCACCAGATCAATAAAGATGGGGCCTAATAGGCCGATGTTTAGTCGGTGATAAAAGCGTAACCGCATAGCGTTCCGAGCAGGAGAAGGGACGGTGTGATTTTTAGTCAGTACGAGTCGGGCACTCCCTTTTCCGACATAGAGAGGGAGATGCGAAGAAGTTTTAAGTTACCACTTGAGTGTCTCACCAGGTTAGGTTACCGGAGGCCAAATCCTTCCCACCCATCCTTAATCTTCAAATCCTATATCCTAAAGCCCTAGCAACGTTCTTGTATTAACACCTTTGGTATAATGTGAGTGTAAATTATATTCATTCGTAATTCGACTGCTCCTTTTGCCGATTAATTTGACATAAGGATAATTTCTAATTATAAGTTTGAAATCGCCAACCCGCATTGAGCAAGAAATGCTCAATGCGGGTTGGCGATTTCGTATGAGAAAAGGCCTTTGCTCAGAAGTGGGCACTTATAGGCTGATGATGATGATGAATTTTTCTTTAAACTAAAATGACCGCTGGGGTAAACGTGTTCTAGAGTGGAGACCACGTCTAGGCAAACGTAGTGTAGGGCGCCCTCCAGCTAGGTGGACTGACGACATCCGCATGGTGGCTGGCAGTGGTTGGATGTGAAGAGCTGAACATCGAGCTCAGTGGCGTGCAATGGCGGAGGCCTATGTCCAGCAGTGGACGACAACAGGCTGATGATGATGATGAATGTTTATCATAATAACTGCTACACTTTTACGTTTTCCGAGTGTCAGCAGTTTTCTTTACAGAATTCGTTACAGCAACACCATTCAATAGGTACCTAATTAGTCATTGTCGACTAATTGCCGATACGAACTGGAAATGGTCTCATTGGACATTAATTATGACCCTATTGTGTGATCTTGGACATTACGATGAAGTTTTCTCAATTCTCACTGGTATTATAGTATCATAATGGAGTATTGAAAGTTTAAAAACAAAACTGTGCAATAATGTATTCGTTAACCTGTAAAAGAAATATTATTTGTCTAAGAGAGTAACGATTCTGTGATTATTTAGACACCACTGACATACGGTGAAGGTAAACATCGTGAGGAAACCTGGACTTATAATTTCTAATAATTTTGTTGTACTATATATGAAGATTTCATATGCATGTAATCGATAGCCTTTTTTTATGTAATAGGTCGGCAAACGAGCAGACGGATTACCTGATGGTAAGCAATCAGCGCCACCCATGGACACCCGCAACGGAGGAGTTACGAGTGCGTTGCCGACCTTTTAGGGATTAGGGATTTGGAGATTTAGGGATTGAGGAGGGATTGGGGGCGGGGAAGGATTGGGCATCCGGTAACCTCACTCACACGGCGAAACACAACGCTGTGGTTGTTTCACGCCGGTCTTCTGTGAGGCCGTGGTATCACTCCGGCCGAGAAGACCCATTCGTGCCGAAGCATGGCTCTCCCACACTTTAGCCTAGCTTATTCATACTGTAGCATTCTGGTGACAACGCGTAAGTCAGTTTCCACCTTTATGTTATGCTTTGATCATGTAATATTTTAATTTTAAGGACCTTAATATTAATTTGTTAAGTTCTTTTTTCACTGGTATCTGTGGAGAACTTGACTGTTTGTTTTTCATTTAATGATATATTTTACATTCAATGTGTTATTGTTTTCAGCAACAAATAAAACAAAAAAAATATATATAATAAAAATAAAATCAAAGACATGACATTGCATGTAGCATGTAGGTATCATAAAAATGATGGGTCATGGAACATTAATGTTTTTTATCATATAAATTACATACACTATGTATAATAAATACATAGTAATTATATACTATGAATGTAGTGCCTGTGTCACGTTGATTGTAATGTGGTTTTATTATGTACCAACAGTACATACTGCAGCGCGTTTTCACTCGCTGCTCGGCTTGGTATTTTGGCCTCTAAAAGGCTATATATCACGGAAGGCCTGAATAAATGGAATATCCAAAGTATTCAACCAAGATAGATTTATTCCATTCAATTCAGCAATTCCGGAGATTAGCACGTCCAAACAAACCAACTTCAGTTTTGTAATATTAATGATAGTATTGATTAGGTAGGTACGGTATTCTTAGTGATTTATGCGTAGTATATGTTTAGGTAAGTATGTGGTTTATATACTGTACGATAAGTAAATAATATGGTAGGGCATTTACATGTATATCAAATAATAGCTCTTTACCTATGAAATTGCCGTTCTGCAGTACTGGCCATTTCAAATCAAAATAGTTTTTGTAAGGCTAAGGCTAATTAATTTTGTTTTAAAAACATGGGATTCTTTTTCCAAAAGTAGTCATTTGTTTATTGATTAGCGTTATACATTTTCATCGCATTTCAAATCAAAAAATTAGTTTAAATTTTTTCATGTAAAACGGCAATTTCATTGGTAAAGACCTACTATAATAAGGATCTATGCATACATATTTATGTGATAATATTTTTTATTCAATTTTGTTATATTTGTATTTATTTTTTATGTACCTACCTATACGTCAAATGTTTTGTTTGTAACTGGCCGCTAATTTTTCTTTTTTTGTTAATAAAGGACCGTGTTCGAATTTTGAATGAAGACGACAAAAATATGGCGGGAATCGAGAGGAATTACGAGTTGACATTACCTTGACAGAAAGGTAGCAAGTATTCTATCTCTTTCTGTTCTAGGAGAAAAGAAAGAGCTAGACTGTTGTAGACTTAAGTTTTTCATATAAAATAATAGGTTAAAGCAATATAGAACTTACCAACAATGGAATAGGGTTCTGACTTCTACCTTCTAGCCCTTCAGCCAGCTCTAAGAGGTCTGTTTCATATAAACTCTGTCCACGGGGAAGGTTTGATAGTCTGTAATGAAATAATCATTTTATTTACATTCTCTATTCAGATAGAAAAATATTAAAATTTGGTTGAAGCAAAAACAAAAAAAAAGTATTGATTTAATTTCTTGAACTTGACTAATAACTTAATAGATATCAAAAGACAGCTTAGCATTTACTGTTATGCAAACTAAAGATGTCGGTAACCTACACAGAATTTCAATCGGTTGAAGATTTCTGCGTAAGAAATATTTGCAAGATTCTTAGTATTGGAAATATTTCTTACATAAATACATTGCAATGCAAATTAAACCATGGAAAAATATATATCAGTAATTAAACTAATTCTCTTTTTTATCCTACAATTTTCACCTCTATCTTACACATAATTAGAGGTATTTTCGAATATCTTAAATAAACATTTACCTGGCTCTAAGCATTTCGTCGATGGGCAAGTCATCTGGGATCTCCTTGAGGTAGGGCACGTTACCGGCCAGCATGAACGACGTCACCATACCGGACGGTCCATTGCCTGAGCGGAGACAAAAAAAAACATTTAAAAAACAAAAAAGCGCGGGCTGTCAAAAACATATGACTGTGACAGCTTACTACTATTTTTTTTATTTTATAAGACGACATACTAGCTTACTGATTACTCGATGGTAAGCAATCAGTGCCGCCCATGGACACTCGCAACGGAGACGAACAGTTACGAGTGCGTTGCCGACCTTTTAAGAATTAGGGATTTGGAGACTTAGGGATTGGGGGAGGGGAAGGATTGGGCCTCCGGTAACCTCACTCACACGGCGAAATACAGATCAATAGTAGGTACGTATGTATAGAAACGAGTCCAATGTTAATGTTTTGTGATTTTGAAAATTTGGTTATCAAGCGTGTGAGAGCTTTACTTTGGCACGAATAAGTCGGCTTGACTGGAGTGTATACCAAGGCCTCACAGACCGGCGTGAAACAACTATAGCTTTATGGTTTAACGTGTAAGTGACGTTACCGGGGGTCCAATTCTTCTTTCCCTCCTAAATCCCTACTTATGTTCTTGTCGACGGGCAGCGCTGATTGCTTACCATCAGGTAACCCGTCCGCTAGTTTGCTGTCCTAAACACATAAAAAAACAACTGTCAATAGGTTTTGAAACTATCCAAACAAATATTATAAATGCGAAAGTAACTCTGTCTGTCTGTCTGTGTGTCTTTTCTTCACGCCTAAACTACTGAACCAATTTCCGTGAACGTTTGGAAAATGGAAACACAGTTTGGAACTCGAGAAAGGACATAGTATAGTTATTATCCCAAAAATCTGCAGGAAGTCACTATTCCACGCGAACGGAGTCGCGCGTAAAAGCTAGTTGTCATTATAAATAGAGTCGATCGATATTTACATATAATATATAATACGTATATAGATGCTACAAATCTAGACTCCATAATTACGACACGCACGAACATTACTTATAAATAAATAAAATATATGAATATGGAAATAGGAAAATCCAATAAAGTCGTGCAATTATTATATTAATGGGAGCTTTAATTATGGCTATATGAAGTGCATAATTATATCGGTTGCTATAACAATTATTTATGTACTCTTATTAGAGTACATGATATCTATATGCAAGTATTAAATTACTTATAACTCTGATTATAAAATAACTTTGTGATATATCTTCTAGCTAAATAGGCATATATTAATAACTAAACTTCCTCTTCAATCACTCTGTCTATTAAAAACCACATCAAATTCCTGCATAGTTTTGTAGATTTATGCAAACATAGGGATATAGGAACAGAGAAAGCGACATCGTTTCATACTATGTAGCGAATATTGATGCAGATTGAACTTTAAAAATTCAAATAAAGAATACATATTCTTTATTTAAACACAAGCAAAAAGAAGAGATTTGTAATTTTAAACCTAGAACGTACGTAACTATCTCTAGAGCTGATTTTTCAATAGTCGATAAATGTTATCTGAGGAATAAAATTGTTGCTGTCACTGTCTTATACAAACATTTTGACGCGACAACATCATAATTATTGCCCAGGTAACTTTTATCTAACCATTGAAAAATCACCCTTAAGTTTTAAATATTTTATCAGCCAAGCCATTTTAGCAGACAGTAATAATTAAATAATGAATAAGTAGGTATAGACATAGTCTATATTTTGTATCAAAACAAAACGCTGGCTCTTGTCCAGGTGTTGATTAGAAGTAATTTAGCACCAAATTAATCGCATAAGGTACTAAGTAAAGAATTATGAAGCAACTTTTTGTGTTATTTGAACTTATACAATGATATGAATATTCCTATACATTACTGCTTAGAAAAGGCCTCTTCTCACACGGAGAAGACATGAGCACTAATCACCAGCACCACGCTTGCTCAAGGCGGATTGGCGAGGACAAATTTATATTGAGAAATTACAAGTCCAGATGTCGTTCGGGATTGCGGGGTAAGCGCAATGAGGCATAACAACCTCGGCCCAGAGCAGGAGAAGGAACAGGGGGGTTTTTAGTCAGTAACAGTCTGACACTCTCTTTCGCCTTACCCTTGGCGGGAGAAGTCATTGGATGAATTTTCCCTGACAAAAAAAAGTTGTCCTTACGACGTTTTCCTTCACCGTATGTAAGTGGTGTTCTAAATTATCTTAAACAGTACATATAACTCGAAAACATTTCAGGTTTTTTAATCCTTCATACTTAAAAGGCAAGGTATTTTGTGTGGTAATCATCAAATGACTGCTTTCGCCCGAGGCGAGAGGGAGTGTCAGACTCTAACTGACTTAGGCCGGGGTGGCTTAAGTCCTTTCGGTAGCCTATTGCGCTAGCAAATAACTTCACTAAGACATTGCTGGCAAAAAAATTCTTTCCTTAAAAAAACCGTCAAAGTATATAAATATTGACGTAATATCCAGACAGTTTTATCAATACTCGTCTTTATCCAGGCTATCAGTGTTAGACAGATGATACGTTGCGGTCTAGATATAGATATCTCATATCTATTAGGTAACGTTTTGGTAAAACCTCGGTTTAAAAAAATAACATATTTACTTGTTTTAAATGAAACTTAATGTGAAGTTGCTTCTTTTGTAATATAACTACAAAATGTATGTTATTTCTAAAATTACTGAAATCAGAAATTCTGTTCCTAGCCTAAAAAATGTTTTTAAAAAGAAATATAGGTATATTAGGTATGTATGAAAAACGAAACGTAAAGATTCTAAATTAAAATGAAATATTGACTTACATTTTCTTAGTTAAATCAAGTTAAAGTCAAAGTCAAAGTCAAAAATCAAAAGTCAATTTTTCTCAGTCCTTGTCAGTACACTACACAAAAAACAAAGTCGCTTCCTCTGTCCCTATTTCCTTATGTACGCTGAAATCTTGAAAACTACACAACGGTTTTTGATGCAGTTCTTTTAACAGATAGAGTGATTGAATAGAAAAAAATATATGTATGTATAATAACATCCATTAAATAGTGGAGAAATTTAGCATCGGCATTGCACTCGTAAGAAGCCATGGCAGGTCGTAGTTTTCAATGAAATTAGTATGTCTCCCGATAGTTTATCATTAACTATATGAAGGTAATATTAATAATATTCTTTCCATTGCCCTGATGTCTTTCGCCCATATTATCACGTTTCGGAACATCGCGTGACCCCCACAATTTACTCGGTCAAGGGAAAATAAGGGACTAGCCAAAACAACAACAACTATAATAATAAATCATCTATTATTATTTTGTGAAATTGTTTGTTTGTCTGACCCATTTTTACAGAGACATGTAAAAAAGGAACAAGTTATTTTTGAGTTTAGAATGTGTCTCGGACTTTTTGCTATTAGATAAATATTAGTGGACTGTAGATCAGCGGCCATTGTTTCGATATAACAATATAACATTAGGTAATATACATTATTATAGGTTTAAGTGTAACTTTGTAAGTAGAATACATACTCCTTTTTTAGGTGATACGGTGGCAAAATAAAATACGCATTCATTGATATTTTTTTATGTAATAGGTCGGCAAACGAGCAGACGGATTACCTGATGGTAAGCAATCAGCGCCACCCATGGACAGCCGAATAATGGATTTCTCACACTTAAATCCCTTTCTTAAAATGATCATATTAATTAAGGAATTGCTCCATAACCGTAACTTTGGTTCTTGAGTGCACGGTTGGCGCGGTGTCTGGGCAACTGGCAACGAGTCGCGGATTCGCTTCCCGCACGGAACAACAATTGGTGAATTACACGAAGAAAGAGAGAGAGAGAGAGAGAGAGAGAGAGAGAGAGAGAGAGAGAGAGAGAGAGAGAGAGAGAGAGAGAGAGAGAGAGAGAGAGAGAGAGAGAGAGAGAGAGAGAGAGAGCGAGAAAGCAATGATGTGGGGCATGATTTTTATTAAAAAAAAAAAGAAAAATAAATTTGATTTGGTGTTTCTGATTCTGAATTGAAATTATCACCGCCCGGTATACAGTACGTAAAGCTAGTTATGAAATAGTACATTGTATGTAGCTGACAGTACGAGGGGTCAATTAATGTCGTCTCAACATTCGAGGCGGGTCGGGGTGACAGGGATATTCCACTCGTTCATATTCAGAGTTCATTATGCGTTTGATTGATAGTAGAGATCGCCAATTAGACCATTTTATTCAACTGATGAAGACTGACTTTGTATTTCTGTCATTTTAAATTGCACTAGCTTCCGTCTGCGACTTTGCCCGCGTGGTAGATAAAAGTATATATCCCATATGTTGGTACAAGGTATCCCCTATGTGGTTACACAATTAAAACCAAACCAGTCCATCCATTTTTGCGTGGAAGAATTAAAAACATATGTATGTTAAAAACACATGTACAAAGATCATAGATTGATAAAAAAGTTTCGACGTCACCTTTGAATAGTTTTGAAAATCGAACTTAAACCTGGTCTTGATTTTGAAATACGAATTATTACTAACATGACAGTTAGTTACGATTGTGTTTTATCAAAAAGAGGATTACACTAACGCTTAAACAAATAAGATTAAGTAATAAAAACAATCTCCATTTCACTCCATTGGTTGATGTTTTACGAATATTAAGACAGCCAACGTCAAAGGAAAGTTTAAAAAACAAAGCATGATATAATGTAAATTACCATGCAAACTTTTGTATCCGTTATATGATATTTATAATGTATAACATAAACTTACCGATAACAACAACTTCTTTATACACGACATCCTCTGATAAAGTATGCTGGCAGGATTTCATACTGTCTTTCATTTTACTGTCCGATCTTATCGCATACAGCCTCCTTTGATCCAGCCTTTTTACTTCTTTGTCACTGGTTTTAATTATCTGTGCTCTTAGTCTATGGTTACTTCTATTCGATTGGTGGATTTAAATAGCGAATTCTAAATTCTAAATGCAGTCACAATAAATACTTTTTTTTGTTTAATAAAATTAATATCACACGCAGTTTTGAGTCTTACGGACTATTTTAGTCTATTTCTTCTTCGTCGTTAAGTTTTGGGTTTGTGGTAGAGTTGTCAAGGCTTATAGTGGTTTGTGTTGGTTCTCTGAGTTGTCTCTTCTTTGTGTTATCTGAAACAATTAGAAATTCACAGGTTAGTAAAAAAATATTGTAATTTTTATTACATAGGCATTGAGTATACACATTCCTATCTTGTCAAAGAATAACGTTCAAAAAGAGGTGTTAAAAAGTTATACTTTAAAATATAATATATTATATATAAAATATATTATATGACCGTAAAATTGAATCCAACGATTGAGGACGTAATTCGCAGGTTCGATACTCGTATGGAGTGTCTCTTTGTAAAAGGGCCACAAAAAAAGTAAACTAATTTAAGTGAATTTAATTCATCAGCCCCCAAGCTAACGCAGGCGTTCGCACACATATTGACCTTCTAGTCTCAAATTACCACAATTGTAAGGTTAAATTAAATTTTTCTATCAGTTATTTGGAAATTATCTGAGTGATCTGTAAGTCTTAGCTTAGCTGTAGTCTTGTGGCTAATATCATGGTGCCACGTGTCAAATATCTACAGTATATTTCCCAAATACTTACAATAAAACGCAAAATCATGTTGTTATTTCCCCCATATCTTAACAAATGCCATAAGTTCAGTAACGATAACTGAGGACTGAGGGTATCAGTTATATTTATACAATAATTTGGCACTAATTACATAATGACATGTAATATCAGCATAATAACATGTAATATACCTATCAACAACCGTGAGAAGTCACGTTGCGGGACGAATGGGCCGGTAACTGTGAGGTGCCAGAGGCCCAAATCAGCCCAATTCTTCATCCGTCTATCCCGAATCCTCAAAACCCTAACGACTCACAATGAACTTGTGAGTAATCTATTCTCAATTCGAATATACATTGTGGAACAAGCATCTAGCTTTTATTTACCAAACACCAAGTGTACGCCGGCGTTCGCGCACCTTACTATTGTATCTCGTAGTAAAACGATTGGAAGGTTAAATCGTACAGACTAAAGCCAATTTTTTGTCTGAAATAAATGCTTTGACTTGCTAAAACTAAAGGGGGTTTGTCACAATCTCTAGGTTTGGCAGACAGGTAGAGAACTGTAAATAAACTTAGAAATATTAAGTCCCTAAAGATCACTTGAACTAGATTTATTTAAACCTTTTTTTTTTGTCAGGGGAAAATCATTAAGTGACTTCTCCTGCCCAGGATAAGGGGGGAGAGAGAGAGAGAGAGAGAGAGAGAGAGAGAGAGAGAGAGAGAGAGTGTGTCAGACTCTTACTGACTAAAAACACCCCTGTTCCTTCTCCTGCTCTGGGAGGTGGCTCATTGCGCTTACCCCGCAATTCCGGAGATTTATTTAAACCTGTGTTTCACGGTATCTTGTTTCATATAACATAGGTATCTCTTTAATATAATTATGTTTGTGGACATTGAACGAACATTACATTATGTATTAATCGTAAATAATGATAATATGAAATTGGTTGATAACGCGCAATTAGGGGGCCGTTATCAGAAGCTGTAGGATCATAATTTATTTATATTATTTTATGAAATGGCTTTGGCTAATTTATATGAATTGGATGAGATATTTAGTCATGTATTAAGTAGTTGGTGATTAGGTATGTAAAATGATATCAAAAAGATAAAGTTGAAATGGTACTAAATATGAGACGAATATTTTTATTAGGATGTTTTTTGAGGAGCATAAACCACCTAATGACTTCTCCCGTCCTGCGTTGGGCGAGAGGGGAGGTGTAAGGCTCTTACTGACTAGACATCGCCCTGTCCGAAATCCCTTCGGCTCCAGCCGAGGCCGCGGTATATTAATAAGCTTGCTACCCTGTCCGTTATAAATAGAAGCTACCAATTAAACTAATTGCCGTAAATGGGTGGCATTTTCGTCAATTTCATAACTACAAACGTATAACTACGATCAAAATTAAATCCAAACTAATTTAATGCTATATATGCGAAAAGTAACTCGTCTGTCTGCCTGTCTGTCTTTCTTCACGCCTAAACTACTGAACCTATTTGGGTAAAATTTGGAAAGAGAGCCGAGAAACGGCATTGGATAGTTTTTAAACCAAAAATTTGCAAAAAGTCACTATTCCACAACAAAGGCGCAGGCAAAACCTGGTATTCAAATAAGGAATATTAAAAAATGATTCTTAAACCATACCTAGATGTTGAACGGTTGGTCATGTTGCCATGCCAATAAAAAAAACTTTGAACCCTATTGACGTAGTATAGGTGAACATAAAAGCGAAATATTATCAGTGAGCCGATATTGGGCAAACACTTGAATCTGATAACATTAACAATCCATATTGAATATAAATTAGGCACCAGAGTGTATCGACGTAGTGACTTTTATCTAGAAGTAGCTTCCAGATCTTTCTCTTGCCATTTTTTCAAGCTAGTTTAGGTTTTGTAGACCAACAATGAGCCCTAAATGGTCAGCATAGCGGAGTCTTTTTTTGAAGGGGGAAATCATCAAATGACTTCTCTCAATATGGGCGGGGCGAGAGAGAGAGCCAGATGCTTGTTAACTAAAACCACACGGTTCTTTCTCCTGCTGCAGCATATAATAAATTGAACGGGAATATTCAAAGAAAAATTTGAATTTATTACTGGTATGTGTGTGGGTACTACATTAGTTAGCGCGCAATTGTGTTTTTGTGTGAACGCACCTCTTTTATTTAACATACAAGTTACTGATAAAAATAACAAATTTATTTTAAATAAAGAACGTACCAGTCATGAACATTTTATTTTCGCGGCTATCTAAAATCAGGGTCCAAGAATTCGATATACCTACAGGTAGGGTTGAATTCCAAAGAGCTGATTTGACATAAAAACAAACGCTTATCATTTGATAAGGAAACATTATCAAATATGTTACGCGTTGTAAGGAGGCTGAACAGTGTGCAATTCATGACGTCACACAAAGCCGTCATTTTTTATTATCCCTATAATACAGGTGAAAGTCAGTTTGTTAAGCTTTTCCTCCTGAACTGCTCAGTCTATTTTAATAAAGTTTTTCGTATTTGTAGGTAGACATGGTAATTGATGAATAAAAATTGAATAATGAAGGATATGGAAGCTTGTAAACAGATTTAAAGGTCTTATTACGAAAATGAAATATAGCGGGTAAAGCGGTTTAAATGGCAAGAATTAGATAAATAAATATTAATATTGGAAAAAAACGACGTATCATTGCTGTTTGTAGATATCGATGCATTTATAGAATAGTCAAAATTGATTTGGATTCATGACATTGTATAGTAATGATAAGCATTTTTGGTAACGTTAACATAACAACGTATTGTGAACTATTTTTATGCGAATTAAAAACAGTTCTTACTTACTAATTCGTTTTATATTATTTATACGTATAGGTAAAAAAAACTAATTTGACATGATACTTTTTTTTTAGATCGAGAGTTTGTGTTTTTTTTGAGAAAGTTAGTGGAAATATAGGTACAGAATCAGATTATTATTAACATCTTCTAAGGGGTCTTCATAGGTCAAACACCTATATAAAAATTCTCGACAAACTTGTAAGTATTTAGGACGATAATGCGGAAAACATTACCACTAGTTGGCACTCAGACAGTCGGCTAAATATATCTACAAAGTACAATTTGTGTGTAAGTAATTTCTCTTGTATTTTAAATGTGTCATTTCTTTACGTACAGAATTAAGTACTTTATTACTGATTTCAATTTTTTCATGTAATTTAATTAAAATATACCTATGTGTATCTAAGCTAGGAATTAAAATCGCCTACAATCTAAACTAATATTATAAATGCGATAGTACCTAACTCTGTCTGTCTGTCTTTTCTTCACGCCTTAACTAATGAACCGATTTCTTTTTAATTTGGTACAGACATAGTTTGGAAGTGTGTGAGAGCCATGCTTTGGCACGAATGGGTCGGCTCGAGCGGAGGGATACCACGGCCTCACAGAAAACCGGAGTGAAATAACCACAGCGTTGTGTTTCGCTGTGTGAGTGAGGTTACCGGAGGCCCAATCCTTCCCCTCCCCCAATCCCTCCTCAATCCCTAAATCTCCAAATCCCTTATCCCTAAAAGGTCGGCAACGCACTCGTAACTCCTCCTTTGCGAGTGTCCATGGGCGGCGCTGATTGCTTACCATCAGGTAATCCGCCTGCTCGTTTGTAGACCTATTAAAAAAAAAACTCGAGAACGGACATAGAATAGTTTGTATACCAAAAATCTGCAGGAAGTCACTATTCCAAGCGAACGGGTCGTGGGCAAAAGCTAATATACAATAATTATGAGCATTGAAGTTAGGTTAAGATTGTGCTTAATGCCCAACATCGTAAAAAGACAAGGAGCCCATTTTATTGAAAATATCTTTTTACTTAATTAATCGAGAAAAGCTCTATAAGTTACAAGTCACAACGGGACTCTTGTTCATAAACTAGTAGAGATCTCACACTGAATTCACGCGAGCAAGTCGTCATTCAATACATTTAGTATGTCTCAAAATAAGTAGCAACTACCTAATCAACGCTTTTAACTAAGAATGAAAATGTACAATTTTGATTTACATAAGTATATAGAAAAAAAAACCTACTAATTACCTAAACTATTTCAATAAAAATAGTGCAAAAATGTCGTCTAAAATATTTAAATATCGAAGTCGCGAGAAAACCGCTAATTTAAAAATACTCGCTTCCTAGTTCCATAGACATAAGTATTAGCAAAACAAATTATATCACAGACTATACAGAATGACAATGTACTTTTTACAACCAGGAAATGAGCAATAAACAAGTCATTATTACAAAAAAAAATATTTAGATTGGAGGCCCTTGGACATTGATTTATGGTAATAAAAAGGTCGCCAAATGTCGACATTAATATTAGGGCCAGATAATAAATAAAATAATTTAGCAGACACGTGTTATTATACTTTTTATAACAACGCAATAACACATTTACGTAAAATACAAAATATTCTTTTTTATAGAAAAAAAATATACATAAATTAAGAAAAAATAAGTGTATATTATTAATACGTTAAAATTTAATTCAACCAATAAAA